CCAGTCCAGTCTGTGCTGAAACGCTACTGTCAATCAAACTATCGTGGGAGGGGCCTGTCTGTGTGACGTCAGGCATCAGGCATCTGAGATCGGCTCGATTTGAGAAAGGGGTAAAGATTTTAGTAGATTAACAAAAAACCACTGGGTGGATTTTTATCATTTTATGGTGGTTGTGTACACACACTGCCAAACACAAATTTCAGTTCAAACAACTTGTAAAAGTGCATGTAGCATTATATGACCCCTTTAATATAATTATATTCTTAATTATTTTCATTTTTGTTTTTAAAGGGATACTCCACCCCAAAATTAAAATTGTCATTAATCACTTACCCCCATGTCGTTCCAAACCCGTAAAAGCTTCGTTCGTCTTCGGAACGCAAGCAGCGTACACTATTCTGTGTCAGCCGCGACACAAGGATACGTTTTCTATGTTTACGCTTTGATTTGAACGAAAACAGCGCATCCGTGCAGCGCGGCTGACACAGAAGAGCGTACGCTGCTTGCGTCCAGTGGTTATCCTCCAAAATGGCGCTACGGTAATGCGGAGAGACACAAAGGAGACGAATTGTTGAATAAAGTCGTTATTTTTGTTTTCTTCGCGATCAAAAAGTATTCTCGTCGCTTCATAACGTTACGGTTGAACCACTGATGGCAGATGGACTATTCTGACGATGTCTTTCATACTTTTCTGGACCTTGACAGTGTAATTTACTTGGCAGTCAATCGGACAGTCACAAGCCTCCCGGTTTTCATCCAAAATATCTTAAATTGTGTTCCGAAGACGAACGAAGCTTTTACGGGTTTGGAACGACATGGGGGTAAGTGATTAATGACAAAATTTTGCATTTTGAGGTGGAGTAACCCTTTAAACTATGCTATGGCTTCAGAGCAGAGGTAACACGAACAAAGCTTTTAGGGGTTTGGAACGGAACAACGGTAAGTGATTAATGACAAAACCCAGGAGCTGACCCTGCGACATGACATGGCATTATTTTACGCTCCGAGAGCGGTCATATACCTTCTGATCCCATTCATCACATTCCGATGGCAACCACATGTATGCGCACTTCAACATTCATACACTGTTCCCTCCAGGTTTATCAGAGCACGCTAACGTGATGGTAATAAACCGCTACACAGCACCTGGGAATTTATTACAACCTCAGAGCATAACAACAAACACTTGATCAACCCATGCTTTAATCACCACTTTAACTAGCTTATAATGTGTCTGAATGGAAAAGTCAATGGCTGTTAAAGAGGTCAGGTTTTGCATCGTCAGTGAAGACTTTAGTGGCTCAATCTCTATGAAGGGAATAGAAATGAGCTCACCACACACCGCTTAGATGCTTAGCGGCATTTCCTGGTTAGTCTCTTGAGATAATGGCATCTAGGTCTGAAGCTGCATAAAACAGCATTATTTTCTCTGTATAGAGAACATTCTCACAATATAAATTTGAATCTTTTCACCCAGATCGCCGCCGCCACCATGTCGTGAAGGCGCTGTGTTTCGTTGTGAAAAGCGAAACTACTTTGGTTGGCCTTCCAAAAGAGGACGAGATCCGCTTCATCATGCCTGGAGCTGATCCGTGCTGGTCGCTGAGGAAATACATCAACTTCGCGCTGTCGATCGCCAGATCGGCTTTCACCGTGGACGAAGCAGAGTCCAGCCCGGGGTCGTCACATGTGGTTGCCG